TTTTATATCTTAAATTATTCTTCAATAAAATATTATTTTATCTTTTTTATCTTATTGTTTTTAATAAAATCTATTCTTTATTTTATTTTTTATTTTATTATTCTTTATAATTTATTTTTATTTAGTTTATTTTTTTTATAATAATATAAAGTAAAAAACTGGTTTTCTTAATTAATTATTTGGCAAATACTAACTTTATATTATTTATTTTATTATTCTTTTTCTTATAATAATATAAATTGAATAGCTGGTTTTTTTAATTAGTTATTTGACAAATACTAGCTTTATATTATTAAAATTTAAAGACTATATATAGCTATTAATAGTCTGATTATTAAGGTTTTTTTCCTTTAATTATGCTCTATAGACATTTCTAAGTTTTAAAATCTAATAATCTTTGTATAAAATAAATATTTTATTATACTCAATCTGCACAGACTAGACAGTAGAATTAGTTTAAAAACTGGTTCTATTGTTATACTTTATAATGTTTAAAAGACTATTGAATTTAAATTCTACTTTTATATATTTATATTTATTTTTGTTTATTTTTATTTATTTTATTTTTCTTTAAATAAAAGATCTTCTACTTGACATTTATGTATTTAAAATTACTACAGCTTGCTAGTTTTTAGTAAATTTTATTACAATATTTTTTATATTCTTTAGTGATTATATAATAATCATAAATAAATTGACCTATAAATATTATTACAAAATGAAATTAATTAATTATTTGAAATTAAGATTATAGAAGTTAAAATGAGGGATACTTAATTGTCACATTTAATAATTTATTAAAAATTAAAAATTTTTAATAAATTACAGCATATAATATTTTAATTTTTAACCTGTTATATTAATAATTAATTATATATGTATATCAATATATATAATTGCAATTAACTATATAATAATATTACCTGTAGAATTGATCTATCCATCAAATGTAATTATAAGATTACCTTCTTGATTAAAAATTTAATTTTTATATTTATTTGAGCTAATTCTTAGTCTAAAAAAGTATTTGATAAAACCCAACAGCTTGAAATAGAATAAGTAACATATAAGACTTTGGTATATTCTTGAAAAAATAAATACTCAACAAGAACAAAAAATAAATTACAACATAATCATTTTTAGTAATATTTTGTTAATTTGATCTTTCTTATTCAATAAAATAAGAACATTTTCATATTCATTATCAATATTAGTATTATATTCTAATTTTTATTTTTTACTTGTTGCAGTTGATGTTGAAACCGTATCATTATCTGAATCATCATTTTTTAATAATACTAGAACTTTAATTCTAGAATCTGAATCAACTTTTTGACATTCTTTAGCAAGATGTGTTTTAAGTTTACTCAGTTTAGCAGTAACCCAATAATGATCACAAAAAGAACACGTTGCGAAATAATATCCTTTAGATGTTTCATTTTCATTTCCTTTTACAAACCACATCCAAACCTCATCACGAGAACGTCCACCTTTTGCTTTTTTCTTGACTAAAGATTTTTTGTTCACTAACATTTTTTTATTAAATTGTGAAGAAAATTTAAAACAACTATTATAAAATTTTTTATTTAAAACATTTAATTTTATTTATTGTTTTCTTTTTTAAGAATTTCGACTATTATACAACACTTCGTTTAGAATTTTAACCTTCGTATAAAGGCTTCAATTAGATTCGACTTTGGTTAGCCTTTCGACCGAAGATTTATTTTCGGAAATGATCATGTATAATCGAAACATCATCCACTAATTTCTTTACCTGAATATACCAACTAGGGGTCTGCACGCCCTGTTTTTTAAAAAAGTTTGGATACATCTGGCTCGTAAATTTATTAGTATTACAATTTTTGAACTTCAGCCAGGTCTCTAATACCAACCAACGTTATTATAACTCAAGATTAAATATTCACCCAGTAATAATATGCCTTGTAATAATCAGTCATAATTATCTCATTGATGATAATGCAGTATTGTAGTACCAAGCATCATATTTCAATTTTACCTGAATAAATGAAATATTGAAAAATCTGAGTTCAAAACTCTGTATCTAATGCAAATATCAACTAGGCTTGAACAGCTGCATCAATCTTGATTTCCTGGTATCTTAGTTTCTTAGGCGTTGACGAAAATCTTTAATTAGAATGGATCACAAATCATATAACCAAATTCCAAATATTTTTGCACATCCACAGTTGACTAAAAGGATTTTTTTATCGGTTTACTAGGAATTCAATAAAGATCGCGAAAAAACATATACAACACCAAGTAGAAAGATTCAAACGAAGAAATAAATACATGTACTGTCTGGATAAAGGGAATAATTTAAAACAATAAAAATGAACCCAGCATTGAATAAAGGAAATAACAAGTAATAATAAAATAAGCACGAGACAATTTCAGGGTTGGGCAAGTCATGTCTGATAGTTTTTTTACCGGACATTCGATATATCCAAATTGTCCTATGTATTGTCCAGTGTTCGATGAGGCGTAGTTGTTGTCACTGGACAATGTCCAATAATATTACACAGGACAATTTGGATAACTTTCCAATGTCCGATGTTATGTTCAATAGTAATCAGTGTTTCCAAAGCGGGGTATAGGGTTGTAGCTTAGTGGTTTCTAAAACAGTTCCTTAACCGGATTTGCCATTAAGCAATAGACAAAACTGGTATTTGCAAAATTTTCGATTATGATTTATCGTTTTGATCTATCGTAAAAATTGAACATCCCTTAGTGAATCACGATAAGAATGATACCTGAGCAAATCTCAATAGTATCTTTATTCGTATTATTAATTTTTATATAATGACTAATAATTGCGTGCATTATTTCGATAAAAAATCGCATCTAAAAAGATGCTGGCTTGGCCTTTAAATTTAGTTATTCACTAAGTTATTAATAATTATAATTTCGAAGTTAATTGCATGCTTAGACGGAATGGTTTGAAACCCTATCCCACGACATACCGTTGTTTTTAATTAGTTTGTATCTACGCGAAGGGTCTTGACATAAAGATATCTGAAAATGATATATCCAATCTAATGTCCATTGTTTGATTGGACAATTCGGACATCGGCCATCGGACAGATTTCCATTGTCCAAATTCCATTCATGCCAACCCTGCGAGACAAAATCAACCTCATGTCTTTATGCGTTACTCTTAAATCAACAGATGCGAATCGCGACGATATATCTTCATTTCTGATCGATTATCATCACGTCATCTCAAAACAATCAACTCTGCAAATCGTTTGTATCAATCCAGAAAAAAAAAAACAAAAATTTTAGCGAAACTTTTTTTTTTAAAAAAAAATGATTCATCTAATCCACGTTTCTTTTCTCATCTACAAAATGGTTGCCGGATGATGCATTGCTACTATCAACAAACATAAAATATAATATTGCATTATTTTTTTCTCTTTCTGTTGTGGTGAAATATGAATCTACAGTTTTCAGTCTAATAAATATTCCAAGCCTATCATTCTTTTTTTTTTTTTTTTGAATTTTTTGATTTTTTGATTTTTTTTTTTTTTTTTTGAAAAAAATTTTTTTTGAATTCCACTTTTAAATCCAAACATGAAAAATTGCACAAATCCGCTAAGGTACCAATAATTGACATTCAACAGTAAAATACGAATTTCCCAACAATGATTTATCCAAGAACACTTCAATTTATCGACGGTAAGGACTTGACGAACGGCCGCCAGCTCTGTAGGGTGGGCTAAGTCCACGCATGAATGGTGAGGAACCACGTTGGTCTGATGATTGTAAGGCTAAAGTAAGAATTTTAAGACTGATAAAACAATATTTCGGGTTAAAACAAGAAAACATTAACAATCTACTTACAAGGGTCAGGTCGTCTAAAAATGGCAATAGTAAAGCCAGAGTTAATATGATGTTTACACAATGATAATAAAAACACATAAATAGACTTTAAAACATACCCATAATTATCCATAACAGCATATTTATCCCTACGGTGAGCATCCTTTTTGCTCAAGCCAATGTCCCTACACGTTGAAGATTGAAGAAATAAGTTATGATAAATAGATATTTTCCTACTAACTTGAAATTATAGAAATGTAAAAAAGTAAGCACCAATCTAGTTTAAGCCGACGACCTTCGACGTTAGTTCCGTTATATTTATCAAATGCATCTTCAGCGTCTCTTCGGTCTTCAAATTCTACGAAAGCGAAACTGAACATCCAATAACATTTCCAATCAATTCTTAATGTTTACATAAATTTCTTTAACCTAGTAAAAGGAAAAATATTGATTATCTGTGCAAACCCTTTATTCCTTCCTGTATAATGATCAAGTTGGACAGTCACTTTTCTCAGGCGACCATAGCGTTCAAACATATCAGCAACATCTTGTTCACGAAATGCGTAAGGGAGATTACCAACGTAAAGAGTAGTAGAATCACGTCTTTCTTTTTCACTACCACTATAATATGATATAATATATTAGAACTAAGAATTTAAAAAGACTAAAAAAAAAGGAAAAATTCTTACCGATCAATTGGTTTACTCCTTCTCGGAGGACCTCGTCTTTCAGAACCGTAAAAGTTATCACGATACCCTCTATCTTCTCTATAACCTCCACCTCTGGGATAACCTCGATCATACCTATCCTCTCTAGCATACCGATCTTCTCTATATCTTTCCTCTCTACCATTACGGTAACCTCTGGGGGAAGGACTTCTTCGCCGTGGAGAGTAAGATGAACGACGATAGCCACTTCTAGGTGACAGAGAACGATCTTTTCTAGAAGAGTAGGGGTGGGTGCCACCACCAGAAACAGTTTCAGGATGTTGCGAAGGTGGTGGAGGGACAGATTCTGAACGGGACGTTCCGTTTTGTTGATCCATTTGAACTATTTTGCACTGTAAAATAATAATTACAAGCTTGACGAAACCTCTAAAGGGTGAATGACTGGAAACAGGAAAATGACTTTTATTTCATAAAAAGAATAATAAATGCCGGAATTTCGGAGGTTTGGTGTTGCAGCCTTGTATCAGAGTTAAAAATCATGTGCACAACTTGGTACAACGGTCAATTATTATGTGTACATTGTGCACATGGGCCCGTGTAACATTTGCAACAAGAGTCCGAGGATCAACTATCAATATTCATGGTTAAATGTATTTAATTCTGGAGTATGATTTCCGATAAACACAAGTGAAACTGAACACTTTAACGTAACAGTAAATATTTATCAGTTGAGTTACATTTATAAAAAACCTTTTTTTTTTTTTTTATGTATATGATTTGTAAAGTGAAAATATTTTATACTGAAAAAGCAATATATAGTGTTATATATGCTTTTTGATATGAAAATAATAATTTATCATACAAATAATACTACATTAAGAAAAGAAATTTAAATATTTTCAGTCCTAAGGAAAAAAAAAAGGACCAACTTGCCATAAATTAAAATAACTTAAATACAATAAGCCCATAAACCCAGTAATCCCACCGTCCTTCACATAACATTAGTGCCTTGCAAATTACGTATTACTTTTAATATTATGATCCACATCCCCTTCTTCTGTGTTTGAATATTCTCTTGGATCAATGAGTTGTTAGTCTGATTCTTCTCTCTCTGCTTCTAATTGTCGATATTTCTCTATCATTTGTTGAAAATCACTCGATGTGGAGACATGCTCAAGAAAAGGATGCTGCATACAAGATTATCAATCACAATAATTTAACTACTTAACAGATAATGTCAAAAATATCCAATTAAATGAGTTAAAAACTTACAGAAAGCATTTCTTCCGCAGTTTTTCTTTTACTAACATCGGCTTCAGTGCAACTTGCAATAAAATCTTTGAAAGCGTCAGACCGCAGTTCGGGATTACTCAAGTCGGGGAGACCTTTCTGTACTATCAAAGATATAGCCTTTAAAGGTGGCATATCCATATACGGTGGTGCACCCTCTGCCATTTCAATCAATAGGACGCCAAGACTCCATATATCCACCTAAGAAAAGACCTAAGTCATAAGAATATAATCATTCTAATAGGCAATAAAGTTTTATAAGGAATAGAAATTGAACCTTTGTATCATAAGGTAAGGTTTTTATAACCTCAGGAGCCATCCAATAAGGAGTACCTATAAATGATTTTCGATGAGGTTCTGTATCGGTCAACTGCACTGCATGCCCAAAATCAGCTGCAAATATTTGAATAAATATTTATACAAACAACCGCATTAGTACTTAAAATCATGATAAAACATGATAAACGGTTAATGGTAAATAAAATGACATTACTAAGTTTAATATCTCCTCGTGCGTTCAGTAAGACATTATCGCTACGAACATCTCTATGTATTCGTCGCTGACCATGAAGATATGCCAATGCTTTCAAAATCTCTTGAGTAACAAGTGCTATCTGAAGTTCGCTCATCTGTAGTTCGTCTGCGATAAGATCGGCCAAAGACACTTCCATAAACTCCATAACCACCTATACAATTATAATATTGTCAGAATGTTAAAAAAAAGTAAAATAAATAAAAAATAAATATAATAAATAAAATAAATAAAATAAATAAAAAAATCAATTCAAACGAACCCATATAGAATCTGACGTACAGTGGCACCCTATATATTCAACAATATTAGGATGTCGACTTGTTTTCATAATAGTCAACTCATTTTTTATTATTTTTAATTTGTCAACACTTGAAAAAGGAATTATCTTGATAGCAACCTATATATATATATAAATAAATGAGAAGATATGACCAAGAAATACTTTATCAGTATAATAAAGAATCTTACCGTTGTCTGTGAAGATTTTTTACTCGCAGAGTGCATATTACCAGATTCTCCTTCAGCGATTGGAATCAAGTTTTCATATATTTGATTTGGATCACGCATATCGAACAATTCGGCTATAATAAGATAAAGTTAGCATAAAATATTATAATTATATTTTTCATAGAAAATAAATTGCAAACCTAAATGCTGAACGTCCTGTGGTAATGTTTCCGAGTTTAAGCAAGGTATTTCGATATCAGCTTGCATATCTTTCGACATATTTGATGATTTCCAGACGCCTGATGTGGATAAGTTTTCAGACAATCTCGATAATTTTGTCACCGATGTTGTTGACACTAATGAATTGTTCATTAAAGATGGAAGATATGTAGGTAAAGATAGTCGATTTATTATTTTTCTGTCTTTTAAGTGTAATCCTTGTTTTTGATAAATAAAAATATTGTCCGTTGTTTTCAGAGAACATTCAGAAGATATGTTGGAAACTTTAGATACACTTTCTAAATTAACGTCTGACGTGACTGTCTTGGACTCACATGAGTCATTGTTCGAACTTTCTGTTAATGATGAACTTGAATCTTTTTCTGTAGGTGTTTTCAAAGAGCATTCAGAAAGTATGTTGGAAATTTTAGATACATTTTCTAAATTAACATCTAATGTAGCTTTTTTAGATTTACATGAGTCATTGTTCAAACTTTCTGTTAACGATGAACTCGGACCTTTTTTGGTAGATATTGTATCATCCGAACATTTCTGTTTTGAACAAGAACTTATAGATTCTGTTGATGGTGTGGTATCAGATACATCAGCGTGTGTTATAGCAGGCGAATCATCTTGAATATTGTTCAATGTTATTTTGATATCTTCTTGAATATTATGCACTTTTTCTTGGATATCATTAACAGTTATTTTGTCATTATCCAAATTAACATTTATTTCGTCATTGTCTAAATTAACAGTTATTTTGTCATTGTCCAAGTCCTTTTGTGTTAGTGTAGAAATCATATTTACTTTTTGAGCTGATTGAGAAGTGATATTCGAATTATTTAAGTATGCCAATGATGCATGAACAATTTGCTTAGATACTATCTCACTAGAAGCTTTTTGTGCACGTATAATGTTATTATTGTTTACATATGTTTGAGAGGTATCTGAAAATTTCCTAGGTGTATTTGAAACCGGTGAATTCTTTACCTCAGAAGTTGGTTCTGTTATGTTTTCCATTTTATAACTGTTAATATTTTCTCTGCTTGGGCGTGATGGTGACAATTTTGGGGTGTGCCTAGGCGGAGGTAGCGCAGGTGATTTAGGTTTTTCATATGGATAATATAAGGCCGAAATATCCTTGATTTGTCCATGTGAATTGCCAGAAGTGCGAATCTGAGGGGCTGATATTTTTTTTTTAAGAGGTAATACGGCTGTTACAGTAAGAGATGATGATGTTGGTCTGTGAGAAATATCGGTGTTGTCATTGTTATATTGAGAGCCGTTAATAATCTTTCGTTGCACGGATGATGAAACTCTTTCTCTTGGTGGTGGAGTTGGAGGTGGTGGAGAAGTAGGTGGCCCTTTAAATAGAGGTGAAGTAATGCGCGGAGATTCTCTTGGTGGTGGTTTAGGCATCTGACCTCCCGATATTATGTTTAGTGCCTTTTTTGGAGTAATCTTTTGTGGAATTTTTGGCAGAACTTTTGGAGGAGTTTTTGGAGGAGTTTTTGGAGGAATAGATGCTGCAGAATTTCTTGTAGAAACAGAAGTAATTGATTCTTGGGATGGATTCGCTTTTGACATGAGAGACGTGCTATTGTCTCTATTTAAGGGAGAAATAGAATAAGAACCATTATCAGACTTTTGAGACCCATCGGAATTTTTTCGATGGGTGGGTATTGGAGAAGGTTTTGAATCATTATATATATCAAGCGAATGACTGGTTTGACCACAAAAAGATGGACTTGATAATTTTCGCGAAGGAGGTAATGTATTTGACGTGGTACGAATTCCATTATCATTTGGTTGAACAGTTTGAGAGTCCAGAGATATTGAACGTTGATGGGCCAATGAGCGTTCCCATTGAGGAGGAAGACCCTACAATATTCAACAATTCAATAAGTATGTTGTTTGAGGCATTAAAAATTTTTTTTAATTCAACATACCATAAATCCAGAATCATCCACAACAACATGAACCTTATGTTTAAAATCATAAGGATAACCAATTTGTTTTCCCGTAACCTCAGTTTGTTCTAAGAGACAAAATATATTAAATTAAGAGCACTCGATGAATAGTTCTTATTATAAGTTGGTAGTAACATACCGGCGCCTGGGGTTGGAACAAGATAAGGTTTTAGATACTTTGTATTTAGCACCTCATCGCTCTGAACCTTATCATTTACCCAAACATCAGGTAGACCCTGGGAATATAGAAATAAGCATACATCAATTGCAATATTCCATGCAAATAAACAAGAATTTAAGGTTTATAAGAATTGGGATTTAACTAAACCTTGATGATTCGTTCATCAAAGTTTAAGAAAAATCCATTATATCCATTATGCAAGAACTTACCAAATATTTGCCACTTTCGGTATTATATTCCACGTGGATTCCATGTTCAAAATCTGTAGGCTTACTAATCTCAACAATTCTGTCAGCCTTGTTTTTCTTTCTACCGAGACTTGAAGTAGAGGAGTTGCTGTGGTTGTAAAGGCCAGTGAATGATGGTTGAACATCGTGCCTTGAGCCAGATCGTTCACGTACAGGCGAAATACACTTTTGACTGTCACTATTCCTCCTTTCGCCGGAATGCAGCGCACCTCCACTCGTCGAAATCTGGGAACCCAGTTTGACGAATTTTCCTTTAATATAATCCAGTATTCACAACTATAGACAGACTAAAAGAAATTCTATCAAGCGACGGGTGACCAGAGTGCTATATAACCTCTAGTAAGTTGCGACTAGAGGTTTTGTAGTCTGCCACTCGAAAAATTGCCAATCTTGGAAAAGTACCTGCGTATAAATAGATAAAACAGAAAACTAATTTCAAACTACATATTATTCCACTAGATTGATTCGTGTTCTGCATTACAAAATTCACCCTGTACTAATAAGTCCTACTCGGTCCCACGTGGGTGGTCTTACAAAAGTAGTACCGATCAAAAAGACCTTGTATTTCATATATTTGGACATCAGTCCTACCACTATTTAGACAATCAAGGTCTACGTTTTTAAATTAACCTACCAATCTAACTCGCTTGCACTTCAAAAGCTACATGAAGGCCTTTGTGTTATCTAACGAAGGTAACTTCAGATGATAAATTCAAATCATTAATTTTATCTTTCTTATTAACAATAAAGTGTTTCATTAAAATCAATTAAATTAGATTAAATTAATTATTGCTCTCAATAAATACATATATAGCTTAAGAGTACACTGTCAATCATTTGTCTCATTTGTCACGAGATTAAAATATATACATTCTATGGGTCTATTCTTTAAACTGAATGATCCCATTTTGGCAACATGTGGACATTATATAATAACCGTAACGATAGATCTTTGGATGATTCGATTCGAATTGAAGTTCTAAAAAGATTTACTCTTTTATTAATTTTATATAATAAATTGTCAAATGCCTGTTCTGATTTAGGTAGGACGTTGACGTACAGTACGGTCAAACCTCCTTAAATGCACCCCCCTGGACCGTAATAAAAAAAAGCAGTGTTCATTTAGAGTTTACATTCAGAGAGCAAAATATATAGAACTCTTATAATGCATTTAGAGAGAATTTTGTATAGCGAGAGTGCACTTATGGAGGCCTAACTGTACGTGCGTACGTACATACCCTTCACGGTTTATAACCTGCTTTTATCATCTTTGTCTGCGCATACATTGTTCTTTTAAACTTGCTGCTTATGGTGAGGTCGACTTTTCGAACATAATTATTTTTAAATATCCTTGTTATGATAACAGGTATGTACCTATCGACTTTATTCGGAATATTCATTCGCCATTTATTTTATTTGTCTTATTTTATTTTTTTGTGTATCATTTTCATAATCTAATTATGCCTTTTTCATATGTTTGAATTCATCCCTTCTTATTTTCGACATTTAATTTCTTTATTTTTCTGTCTTTATTTAGACCAAGCTGTTATAAATTTCTGAAAATGCTAATTTTTAGTTTATTTTAAATAATGAAGCCATACATAACAACTTCCTGTGTTTCAATTTTGGCTATTAATATACGTGTTTTCTTTTTTGTCACACTTTCAAATATACAAACTTCGATAATAACTACTGATTGTCTTTTGGAAATTGGGTTGTTCAGTAACACAACTAAATTTAGTATTACAACAAATTCTATTTATACTTTATAGTCTAGATTACACAAATAATATACGTATATTAGGGTGTTCAATAAACTAATTAATCAAAACATAGTTCGATGATCATTAAGTTCGGATTTTTTAAAGGGTTATTTCACATATGAATTTACACATGAATTTGTACTAATTGTTTAGAGCGAAGCGACGGATGACCGAAATTGCGATTTTGTTGCTTTTATAACAGAAATATCAAAAACTTAGTTTTAGCATTTTCCGTTTGTAACGCTTCTGAAAACCAGATTTTTTAGGGGCTGAGGTCATTAATTGAACATTTTAGGCTTTGAACATATATATATATATATTGGTTTCCGGTAGGGTTGTTAGATGGAGTATATTGCTTCAAAGTGACTTCAGTTTGACTCCAACCCAACTTGGAGTAGATTAAAATTTAATAAACCGGAGTAAACCAAAATAATAAACCAGTTTGTTAAACTGGAGTATTAAAAACTGATTTATTTAAACTAAAGTATTAAACTGATTATTAAATTGATTTATTAAATTAGTTTGTTGAATCAATTTATTAAACTAATTTATTAAACCAGTTTGTTAATCTAATTTATTAAACTAGTTTATTAAATCAATTTATTAAATCAGTTTATTAACCCAACAAATCAAAATTATTTAAGAAGAATCATTTTAGTTTACAAACATTGCTAGTACAAAAAAGATTACAAACAAATAAATTATATATATTATTAATACTATTATTATACTTATATTTGAATACAAACTATATAATATAATCTTACCTTACTCCATATGTAACAATATTTTTATTAAATATTTAACAGTTGTCAAACATAAATTTTGTTTAGCATACTCAATTCTTAATAACATTATGTTTAACTTATATTTATATAATATTTATAATATATAAAATATCTAACTTTAATACGTATTATATTACCAATTTTCTATTAAGAATTAATAATTCTAATTCATTAAAAATCTCTAAATAGAGAATGGTAATCCTAGTGTAGTGGTTGGGTTGTCATTCTTCAAGTGTCAAGTTTAAGGTTCAAATCCTACCTACAATGAAATTTGAAAATTAACCTGTAATATGGCAAACTGTCTCTTGATAATCAGTTGGATTTGTGTATCTGTAACCTTAACTTACATCATCTTGAATAAGAGTTCAGGGCATCTATATTAAGTCTAACATTATATGTATATAGAGGAATGTTAATAACCAGCATTATATAAAACTTTAATGCAAACCTACAATAAGACCACTAAATACAATAAACTAAAAAACCAAAGAGTTAGAAACCTACTTAGAAATTCTCAAATAAAGAGATAACATAAACTTTTGATAATATAGTTAAACCAATGAAAGCTCATAAAACACCCTTAAAGGAATAGATAAATAAACTTGATATCAAGATATATAAAGAAGCACATGATTAATTAGACTACTAAAATCACTAAAGAAAAAGGATATATAAGTATATCATATTAGGTTATCTGGATTGAAAGTTAGAGAAGTCCTGTTAGTCTTAAGTAGTAGTTAATAAGAAATGATAAAAAGGATGTTATGATGATAGATACTGAGGTTCTAGTAAACTTTACAAGAGTAAAAATAGTATAACATAATAGTTAAACAGATAACCCTTATAACTACAAGTGCTAGATAATTATAGCATATTGCATAAAACTAGATCAGCTATATATGAAACACAGAAGATTCTAGTAAATTTCCTATCAAGAATAAACTAATTATAAAGATTTTGAATGTATCAGATACTTTAGATAAATGTAGTTCAGAAGATGTTTCTGTGATCACAAGTCAGATTACATATGCAAAGGGTTTAAATAGGCAAGACCTATAGTTGGCTTGCAGATATGACATCTAGTGTAGAACCTGTATAGTAATATATAGGCAGACTACTTAAATTAGGCATCAAGGATGTTAATCCTAGTATAGTAGTTAGATTGTCATCTTCTAAGTGACAGATCTAAGGTTCAAATCTCACCTATGATGAAATTTGAAAATTAATTTGTATTATGATAAACTGTTTCTTAATGATCAGTTGAATTTGTGTATCTGTAACCTTAAGTTACATCATTTTGAATGAGAGCTTAGGGCATTTATATCAAATATAACATTACATGTATATAAAGGAATGTTAATAACTAGTGTCACATAAGACTTTGGTGCAAACCCATAATAAGATCATTAGATGCAATAAACTAAGGAACTGAAGAGTTAGAAACCTACTTGAAAATTCTTAAGTAAAGAAATAGCATGAACTTTTGACAATACAGTCAGACTTATAGAAACCCATAAAACACCTCCAAAGGAATAGGTGGATAAACTAGATGTTAAGATATATAAAGGAGCACATAACTAACCAGGCTGCCAGAATTGCTAGAGAAAAAGGATACATAAGTATACTATACCAGGTTATCTGGTTTGAAGTCAGAAAAATTCTGTTAATTCTGAGTAGCAGATAATAAAAGATGATAAAGAAGTTGTCATGATGATAGGTACTGGGGTTCTAGTGAACTTTATAAGGGTAAAAATAGTATAATGTAGTAGTTAAACAGATAACCTCTGTAACTACAAGTGTTAGATAGCTATAGCATATTGCATAAAACTAGATCAGCTATATGTAGAACACAGAAGGTTTTAGTAAGTTTTTTGTTAAGAATAAACTAGTCCTAAGAGTATTTGAAGACATTAGATACTTTAGATAGGTGTAGTCTTGAAGATGTTCTTATAAGACATGATGGACTACATATGCAGAGGGTTTAAATAGGCAAGATCCATAGTTGACTTGCAGGTATAGCACCTAGTATAGAAACCTGTATAGTAATATATAAGTGGACTACTTAAATTAGACACCAAAAGTGCATATGCAGCTAGTTGTAATCTTCAATATAAAGAAGTCTCTGAAGGCAAATACATGAATAAAAACATCAACTCCTATAGACAGAAACTTTAACAAAAAAAAAAAATTAGGTACCAAAAATGCATATGTGGCTAGTTGTAATCTCCTATATATGGAAGCTCCTGAAGATATCTGTGTCTAAATACTTGAATAAAAACATTAATCTTCAAAAGCAGAAACTTTAATGTTAAAAAAAAAAACAATCTCTAAATATATTAGATTATAACAATTTTAGAATAACTTATAATCAGTTATCAACATATTACAACACCTAAATCTAATTATTGATAGTCCTAACAAATATACTTTTAAATTTCAAAATTATATAACTAATAATATATCTAAATATTTTTATAATAATTAATTTTAATATTTTTGATCTAATACTATAAACTATAATTTTTAATCATTAAAACTAATTTTATCATAATATCACTAATATATTATATTTAAAAAACAAATTAGAAATCTTAATATTTATATCTTAAATAGTTTTGTATAATAGACAATACTATATTATTTAAGTAAAAGCACTTATCAACTTGCTTATTGCAATTGCTTAAAAACTAAAAACCTTTATGTTTTTTTTATCTAAAAAATATAATAATAGCTTATAATAGTTACAAAGTACTATTTTCATATCATCAACAATCAGAATATAATTTATTTGTATACAATTTAAGTTATGCCTATTCATATATAATATTATTATTAACAAAATTTGTAGATATTTTAAGAATACAAATTAAATTTTTTTTTTTTTTGATGTTAAGGTAACCTCTTAGATCTTTTAACTTTATCTAATA